TGCCTCATTAATTCCGTGAAAAATGTCATGATTTGAAATTTTAGAAAGAAGACAAATAAAACTAATTCACATTTGCTGTTAACTGTGACACATTTTGCTTTTTGATTAAATCTTTGATATGGAATTCTTAGATGTGTAAGTCAGCTTATATAATATATAACATAATTTTACATATTAATTTAATCACAGTTAAAGAAAACATCTTGAATATGTTATTAATATGTCACTACATATTAATGAAATGCCTATGACTTGGGAAGCTTTAGAATAGCACCTTAAAAGTCATATACACAGAAAGTAATGAAAGAGCTTCTGCAATCCATGTCCCGTTTATAAGCACTGATGTAGCTATCTTTAAATCTCTACCCAGACAGAATGTGCTTGATATTGTGCTTTGTTGCGCCCACCCTGGCCAGCAAGGAAGACACAACCTCCGGTTCCTTCTCGTCAGCAATCTTTATTGCAGGAATCAAGTTGAGTTACAGCGATGTCGTGGACGGCGAGCCCCGATCCACCTCGGGAGCAAGCTTATATATATTTCAGGCAGGGGAGAGAAATCTATCCCCTATTGGAGGATTTACTGGCTGCCAACCGTCACCTTATATTTCAGGCAGGGGAGAGAAATCTATCCCCTATTGGAGGATTTACTGGCTGCCAACCGTCACCTTATATTTCAGGCAGGGGAGAGAAATCTATCCCCTATTGGAGGATTTACTGGCTGCCAACCGTCACCTTATATTTCAGGCAGGGGAGAGAAATCTATCCCCTATTGGAGGATTTACTGGCTGCCAACCGTCACCTTATATTTCAGGCAGGGGAGAGAAATCTATCCCCTATTGGAGGATTTACTGGCTGCCAACCGTCACCTTATATTTCAGGCAGGGGAGAGAAATCTATCCCCTATTGGAGGATTTACTGGCTGCCAACCGTCACCTTATAAGGAAGGCAAGCATACTAGTCCCCTTAGATTGGCCAAGCTGGCGTGTCATCTGTAACCAGGAAGAGACAGCTGGAACAGGATCGAGCTAAGATGGCGGAATGCGGAAGTATGTGGCAAGAAAGGCATTTTGCTATTCACCAAACAGTATCCAGAACTTTTTAGATGAGAGATGGCTAAGATGAAAAGCTAGATTTTTGTTATGCAAATAAACTAGCCTAGTTTATCTCTTTGCTAGGCAGGCAGCTACAGAAAGGATCAAATTATTTTTAAGGTATATTTCTTTAGGAATTCCCTCAAATGCCTCAGCAAACATTCTATTGAAATGCCAAAGTTATGTTCCAGAAAGCACAGAACTATTGACCTTAGCCTGGAAAGCTTTGATGGCTGGAGTAGCCTATCATAACTGCAATATAAGTGCTGTGATATGTTTCTAATAAGCAGCTTAATTTTTGAGTAAGTATGTGATTAAGGGTTAGAGGGAATTCTAGTACATCTTTCAACTCTGACCAGTGAAGCTTCCTCATGCAACAGGGGAATGAACACAGAAGGCCACAAGTGGCCAAAGGGTAGACAATAAGAGACTGCAGAGCATGTGTCCCTCGATAGGACTCCTGTATTAGATCTCATCCACCCACAGCTCAGGGACCACTGCAAAAGAGGGTACAGAAAAATTTAAGAGCCAGGGTTGGTGCATAACCATAAGGAAACAGAATCTTAAAAGCTCCTTGGAATTTGTTCAGATGAACTTACAGCAATAGTGACAGACCCATGTGAACTCAGTCACATAGAACTGGGGAAATGGACAGGAGTCCCCAACCTTAGCCAAGGAACTACTGCTGGGTGAGGGAGAGTTGATCTTATTTAAGGAAGTGATGCTAGCTAGATAGGGTGACTAGCTAGGCTCCAGTGGATGAACTCACATGAAGAGACAGATGGGTACATAAACTTGACTCAATAGGCCTTACCATATAAGACAGAATGCATGAAATCCTGTGGTCAGGCTATGGGGGCTGTGTACAGATAGGGGAGGTCTAAATATAATTAAAATGTATTGTATGAAATCTAAAAAAAATTCAATAAAAAATATGAATTGAAAATTTAAATTAAGGACCTGGAGAGATGGCTCAGTGGTTAAGAACACTGGCTTTTCCAGCAGAAGACCCAGATTTGAATCCCAGTGCCCACATGGCAGCTAACAACTGTCTGTAACTCCAGTTCCAGGGTATCTGATGGCCTCTTCTGTCCTCTGTGGGCATTGAATGACACAGATGCTCTTACATACAAGCAGGAAATACATTCATACACAT